GGCAACAGCACCTCTTATTCAATCATTCATTCAACACACACTTGATGAGAATATGCCATATGGGATTCTTGTGCTTGGTGCTACTGGAAAAGAGAGCAAATGGCTAGATTCCTGCCCTGAAGGGTGACACTATTCAAAGGCAGGGTGGGGGGTGATAAAACTCATAGACAAATACACTGCAGGAGAACGTGCTGCTACCTGAGAGGTATATACATAGTATGGTGCCCACGTCTCCAGCCCAGTGCCCTGAAGATAGCTTCAAGAGGGAAGCACGGTCTTTATCTTTTTTTTTTTTTTTTGAAGATTTTATTTATTTATTTGACAGAGAGAGAGATCACAAGGAGGGGGGGGGGGGGGGGAAGGGGGGGGGGGGGAAGCAGGCTCCCCGCTGAGCAGAGAGCCCAATGGGGGGCTTGATCCCAGGGTCCTGAGATCATGACCTGAGACGAAGGTGGAGGTTTAACCCACTGAGCCACCCAGGCGCCCCAGCACTGTTTTTATCTTGAGGGCTGGTTACCATTTTGGCAAAGGGACATGGAACAAAGGCCTTGTGAGGGGAACAAAGACATGAAGATTGGAAGCTACATGCTCTGTTCTGGAGAGAGGGGCTACTCCAATTTAGTTAAGAGTTGGTGTGGCAGAATTATCAGCAGCCGTGAGGGGACAGGTGGAGAGACAGACCATATGGCCCTGATCAGTGCCATGCTTTAGGAAGCCTGAAATGCTGCGGGGTGGTCTAGTAAAGGGAACCCTGTGCTGACCTGCTGGTCTGAGTCCTGGTTCAGCTACCCACTAATTATGTGGCCCTTGGTCATTCATGTGTCTCAGAAGAGCGACAACAGGGGTTGGTAATAACCGTCTTGCCTTCCTCACAGGGCTACTGTAAAGTGCAATAGAAACATGACAGGTAATTATTTCCTCCACCTCCAGATGTAACTATATATTCACCCATTCTTAGGTCCTTGCCCCAGCCTGAGGAGTTTTCCTTCCGCTTATGGTTGGAGCTGTTCTCCTTGATTTTTTCAATGATCTCTAGTATTATTTTGAGTATTTTCAGTTCTGCCTTTTCTCTCTTGTTTCTTCTCCAAACATGCTTCAATCTCAAAAAAAAAATGTAATTTAAAGATCCTGCCTTATATCCTCTCTATCCCCCAAGACACTATCAATTTCCCTTTTCCTCACCAAACTTCTCAAAAGAATAGACTACTCTCTCACCTCCTTTTCTCATCTTCTACCCACGGTGAAGCCCACTCCAATGTCCATTTAAAAATGGCTCTAAAAAAAAAAAAAAAAAGATGCTCTCAAATTCCGTAATGACTGCATCTAGGGGCTTCATTTTATTTGCATCCTGCCTGATTTACCCTAGCCTTGTGAAATGCCTGTGTCCTGGCTTCCAGCACCCCACACTTTCCCTTTTCTTCTCCTCCCTTCTCGGCTTGGGGTTCCCTACTTAGGATGCCGCTGCCCTCAGGCTTTTTCTCACTCAGCACACTCTCCAGGGATCACTTACTTCCAGCCTCTCGGCTTCAACAGTCCCATTGCAGAAGAACCACAAACACCTTTAACTCTGGGTTTCCTTCCCTAACTCCAGTCCAACAACCATTTTTACCTGAGCTGTCAAAGTGGCGATTTGGATGTCTCGTGACTCCTCAAGCCCAGCTTATTCAAAGGTGAGGCCATCTTCTCCTCTTATGCCTGCTCTTTCTCTGTTGTTCCACAAAAATTTTTAAATTATTTTTTATTTTTAAAAATATTATATTTATTTATTTGACACAGAGAGAGAGAGAGAGAGAGAGAGAGCGAGCGTGGGCCCACAAGCAGCGGGGAGAGGAAGAGGAAGAGGGAGAAGCAGGCAGGGAGCCCGATGTGGGGCTCAATCCCAGGACCACGGGATCATGACCTGAGCAGAAGGCAGCGCTTAACAGACTGCGGCACCCAGGCACGCCCACATAGTTTTTTTTAATGACGCCGCCATCATTTATGTCATCCCAGCTTTAAGTTTTGATTCCTTTCGGGGCACCTGGGTGGCTCAATGGGTTAAAGCCTCTGCCTTCTGCTCAGGTCATGATCCCAGAGTCCTGGGATCGAGTCCTGCATCGGGTTCTCTGCTCAGCAGGGAGCCTGCTTCCTTTCCTCTCTCTTCTGCCTACTTGCGATCTCTGTCTGTCAAAAAAATAAATAAAATCTTAAAAAAAAAAAAGTTTTGATTCCTTTCACTCCTGTAGATCTTATATTAAAGCAGTTCCAAATCCGGTCAAGAGGTCAGATGGGACTGGAGTCGGCTGGGACTGCGGTCGTAAAGACTTGATGAGGGCTACAAGATCTTTCCAAGGTGGCAAGCCTGGCAAATTAGTGCTGGCTGTTGGCAGGAGGCCTTGGTTCTTGGCCACATGGACCTCTCCATAAAGCTGCTTGAGTATCTTCACAATGTGGAAGTCGGCTTCCCCCAGAACAAGTGATCTAATACAGAAAGGGGGAAACAAAAATATCTTTCATGACCTAGTCTTGGGAGTCACACACCATCACTTATGCCATATTCTATTTGTTAGAAGTGATCTGCCAAGTCCAGCCACATTCGAGAGGAGGGATCAATTACCACTGCTTGAAGGGAGTATCAAAGAATCTGAGAATATATTTTAAAACCACCACACATGGATTGTCTTATCTTTCGTCCCTGGTAACTAGCACAGTGTTTGGCACTTAGTAGGTGCTCAACAGATATTTCTGATGGAATGGTGTATTAAAGGGGGGGATACTGGAGGCAGGGTATCTGTGGGTAATTAGTGTGGGCCAGGTGAAGAATGTTGGGTTGGGGGATTGTTGGGAGGTTGTTCTGAGGTGCTGAGATTCATAGGCTCCATGATCGATTGGATGAGGAGTTGGGAAGAGGTCTGTCTGGGGTTGAAGATGGTTTTGAAACTAGGACTTAGATGGGCGCCTGGGTGGCTCAGTGGGTTAAGCCTCTGCCTTTGGCTCTGGTCATGATCCCAGGGTCCTGGATTGAGCCCCTCTCTCTCTCTGCCTGCTGCTCTGCCTACTTGTGATCTCTGTGTGTGTGTGTGTCAAATAAGTAAATAAAATCTTAAAAACAAAACAAAACAAAACTAGGACTTAGAGATGGCTGGGATGGCTGAAGAAGGCACCTAGTGCTTCCTCCCTGGGGTTGCGAGGTAGTGAATACCAAACCATGCATCTAAGAGCCCTTTGTCTAGTTGTTCAATTGCATTTGAAAGGATTCAGGGCTGGCAGTCATCAGTATGAGCAATGTCTAAGCTACCCACTTTACATTTCTTATTTATAAACCTGGAGGTTATAATTCCTAACTATCTCCTGGGACTTTCAGCCTGAACACAGTGTAAAGAGGTTGACAGTATCCCACTTTTTACAAGAAATTCCCACCATGATATCCTCTACAAATGATCATGGGGAAACATGAGCAAAGTATTAGGTTGAACCCTCTGAAATGCTGGTATTCTAGTTTTGACCTATAGAGAAACTGATTGCATAGGGTTCAACCTAATCGATGTGGCTGCAGTTTGAAAATATGAACACCTTTTCATAGATGAAAAATTAAGATGCTCTACAGTTCTTGATCTTTCTATTCCTCATGAGACTTGGGTCCAGCTTGAAGAAAGGTCAGCCTTGAAGTTAAATGTTTAGTCGAATATAGGCATTACTTTCTCATTTCCTGAAGTCATACAAATTAAAGACCAAAGGTTGTATGCTAAATACTGACAAGTGAAGAAACTTCAGATGTCAAATTTATCTAGGAAGTCAAGGCCTGTCTCAAGCACATTTCGTACACGTGCCATGTTTAAGAAATCGTATTTACTTAGAAGTGAAATAACTGTGGACCTAATGAAAAAGAGAATAGGAATTAAAGAGTTCTTTGTTCATTTTGCATTTTTGCACATCTAGAAAGTGATTAGTTGGTTCCTTCATTACTGGTAGGAATGAATCCAATATTTGCCTATATAAATTAATTTATTAAAAATACATTTTGTCCTTTCCAGGAGTACTTTTAAAACTTAATATTAAATAGAAACTTTACATGAGACAGTGCCTTCTTTTTTTTCTTCTTCCATGTTTATTCTTCAGAGCAATTAATATTTGAGGCAGACTTTGGGTAAGACGTGTAGAACTAATTTATAGTAGCACAAATGTCTCATTAGTTAGCAGTTAGCAGACCTGCACCCCTTCATCCACTCCCCTCATTGGAAAACAGGCCACCCTGGGGCAGGTTTTTTTTGTTTGTTGCATTATTCCCAGCAATCCGAACCGTGCCTAGGTCACTGCCAGCTCTCAACAAACACTTGGTTGACTTGATTCATTGATCATCCGTGCCTGGCGCTGCGTCCAGCGGGAAGACCCGCGGGCAGCCCTCCTCCCTCCACCGAACCTGCGCTGCTCTCCGCCCCGCAAGGAGCATCCGGCTACCCGGCCCACCCCGCTCGGCCCGGCCGCGGCCTCCCCGGCCCTTCCCTTCCCGCGGAGGAAGAAGCGAGCGCCGAGAAGTGGGAAACCCAGGCCCACTTCCTGTCCCGGCAAGGCCGGGCGTCAGCGCCCCCCGCGGCCTGCTCCCTGGGCGCGGCAGGCGGCCAGGCCACAGCAGCGAGAAAGCGGCGGGGTTCGGCGGTGGCGGCGGCGGCAGGCCGGGAGGCGGATGCCGGGCCAGGGGACCGGGGCCAGGGGACCCGGGCCAGGGAACCCGGACCGCACTCACCGCCCCGCGCGCCGGCCCCGCCCCCTGCGCGTCCCAGCGGCCAGAGGGTTAAGCGCGCGGGGGGCGGGGCCGCAGCGAGGCCGGCGCGCAGAGTGCGGGCCGCGGGTGGGGAGGGGGCTGCGGCCGGGGGCGGTTCCGGGCGGCGGGGGCGGGGGCGGGCGGAGGAAGGGGGCGGGCCCCAGAAGTTGTTGGGCGCTAGGCCGGCGGGCGGGAGGGCGAGCGGGGCAGCGGGCCGGCGGGCGGACCGGGCCGGGGCTGGAGAAGTTTGCGCGGCGGCTCGAGAGCGCAGGGTGCGGGCCCCGCCGGCCGCTGCGCGCCCGCTGCCATGGCTTTCCGCAGGAGGACGAAAAGTTACCCGCTCTTCAGCCAGGAGTTCGTCATCCACAACCATGCGGACATCGGCTTCTGCTTGGTGCTCTGCGTCCTCATCGGGCTTATGTTCGAGGTGAGCGAAACTGGGGAGGGGGTGCCCCCTCTTGTGCGTCGCCCGGCGTAGCCCTGCAGGTCCCGCGGGTCCCCGTCAGAGCCGGGGCGCCTGGCTGCCATGTACGCTCTCCGCACCCCGGCTTTGTGCACTCTGCGCCCCCTTGGCCTCCTGGTCAGCCCGGACGCCACCCCTCAGCTCTGTGCCCTGCCAGCCTTGTCCTGCTCTGCCGCCCCCTTGAGCACCCACCCTATCCTGCAGCGTTCTCTGCAGCCCTGGATCCTAAGCCTGGCCTTGAATCAACCGCAGCGCTGCCACCCTGGCCCGACTAGTGGGGTTTCCTTTCTGGTGTCCTGGAGTCAAGCCCGGAGACTCCCAGACCCGCGGTCATTGCACAATTCCCCCTCTCAGGCGGTGGCCGCCAGCTAGCTCCCTCTGGCTTTTCCAGTGGGAGGGACCTTAACTCTTTTCCACGTCTCACCTGGTTTTCCAGCTCTAATGCATCCTCACGTATGGGATATGCTCAGGGTGTTCACGTGTGGTCCTGGCCCCATCCCAGCAGTGCCCTTCTGCCATCCTCCTGCCCCTCCTCCCTTTTTTCGCCCTTGCCTAAAAGGCGAGGTTTCATATACCCTTTATTACTCTGTGGACTGTTCATTTAGATCCATCTATAGTGGACCCAGAACTTCTCCCCTGTTACAGGGGCAAGGAGAGGGACAGGGATAGTCTCTGTTTTTAGGAGAAAGGTGATTCTCTCAGAGCTATGGGGGACAGGGGCTGGAGAGGATGGGTCCTCACCGGGATAGCAGTGCCCTGGTGTGGGCCTCACCAAGCAGAGTTTTAATAAGGCACCTGGGGGTCAGAATCCAAGGGAATGATTCTCTGCTCTGGAGCGGGAGAAAAATGTGATATCCAAAGTGGAAAGAACTGGAGAAAAGTGAGTATTGGGCTTGCTCTGGTATATCTTGTCTCAAGAGTGAGATTATGTGAGTGACACTCCCCTCACTCTCATGGATGATGTCCCCTTTGAGGCGTGCCTGGTCCTCCCTGCTGGGTTGTGTTGCTTATCTGTGTTCTTGGGCATGGGTTAGGAAGCTGTAACCATTTATAAACAGCCTTGGAATTGGAGGCTTCCCAGTGTGGCTAATTTTTCCTTCAGGAGCCCTCTCTCTCTCCATTCCCTATCTTCCCTCTAAGGATGACAGGGGTTCTACTTAGCCCTGAAGCTGTCCTCAGGCTGGGGACACTTTCATGGTGGCGAGTCAGGGTTGGATGTGTGAATGCACCCTTGGCTGGGCTTCGCTGTCTGTAGGAAACAAACCTGGGACCAGGATTGCGGTCTGCCGTCCAGATTTTGCTAGCGCTTCTCCACTTCTGTCCCTCCGTCCTTCCTTCCCCCACCCCACAGCTCTCATGGTATATTCATCCTGACTCTGTCAAGCCAGGGTCGTCCCTGGGTCCCCGTCTCTGCTCTGTCACTAGTCGGACTGAGGAGTTGACTGCAGCCTCAGTTTCCTCTTGGCTAAAGAGGTTAGTAAAACCTGTCTTCCTCACAAGGTTATTGAAAGGTTTAACTGAGATCATGTAAGTAATAGAATAAGAGCCCAAACAGAAGCTACAAATGTGAAAACATGTCACTTGCTGCTGAGACCCTGTACTGTTGACCATAGTACTAGCTTAATGAAACAAGAATTTTGTTTGGTGCAGCCCATACCCTCAGTATCTGTTTGCTGTCATCTGTTCTTAAGAGGCCTCCCAGCGTCGTGTCACCAGTCTTGGAGGGTGTGGTTGGAAAGACACACGTGACAGCTGTAGCCCTCAGAGCCGCAGGCCCTTCGGCCAGCGGGTCTCTTGCATACTTGCACCTCTGCTGCATTGCAGGCAATTGCTAAGGTTCGTGGCTCTGTGGGTTTTATCTTTGCTTAAAAGAGCTGCTTAGGGTTTGAGCTCGGTACCTCCTTCCTGTCCTGCCTTCAGTCTTGTGGAAGGTCCAATGCATGAAACTGGAACTTTGTGGCAGTTGAAAAGTGCTAGGAGCCCTACCTACCTGCCAGAAGAGAAAGGTCCAGGATGGAGGACATAACAGGAAAGCCCCCCCCCCCAATCCCCCGTCTTGGGATTGGCCTGGAGTATGGAAAGGGCCCTGGCAGAAACGCACTGCCAACTGACTCCCTCTTCCCACCACCCTCTGTCTGCCGAATCTTAGACCAGCAGACTTTACAAATCTTTACAAATTTACAAATTTTTACAGCCCTGGGCACCTTTTCTAGAAGGTGCGTCTGAGGTCTGTTGTGGAATTGTCCATGTATGCTTGTATGCGAGGACAGCACAGGACTTACTAGATCTTACTTAGGGTCTTCTGGGTTCTCCCCTGGAGGTGAGGTATATGTAGGGATGCGTATGGTGGGGGAGGGGCAGTCCAGCACTTAACAACCTTTTTCCTAGAAGTGAGAACGGAAGGGGGTGGAAAGGGAAGGGGAGATAGGGAGAGGATGTCAGGCTCTGGGGTTTCTAATTTGGGCAGAGCTAGAGTTCCTTCATTCAGAAGCTGAGTCAGGAAAACACAGTTATGATTCTTCCCACAAGGAGTGACTCTCCTGGCCCTTCCTCCCTCTGGGGTCCTCTGCCCAGCCTCTGCCAATGAGTTGGACCCCTCTGCCTCCACCCCAGGCAGCCACAGCCCCTGGCATCCTGGCTGGTGGATCCTCCCCAACTCACCCTCCGCTTGCCAGCATTTAGGGGAGGCCTTCATTCCCCATGCCCTAGGACCCTAGGAGATGATGACTCCAGATTTCCTCCCTGGGGATCGCTTCCTTGGGGATCACTTCCTTTGGGGAACACACATGAAAGTGCTCCTCCCTCCTCCTTCTGGTTTAGTTTCGGGCTGTCCTAAAATTCCTTCTCTCATTTCCAGGGTGGGGGGGGGCAGGTTCTTCGCCCTGCACCCAGGTTTTCTTTCCATTCCGCAAGGCTGTTTGGAATAGAGCTGTTCTGTGCAGTCACAGCACTTGGCTAAAAAATGTCAGGAATGTGGAGCTTTATTTTCCCCCTCCTTCCCTTCCAGCTTTCTCTTTCTTAACTCTGCTTTCGGGAGTTGGTGCAAGTGGGAGTTTTCTACCCAGTGGTTTGGTCCTTTGGTCCTGGTGGCGGTCAGTTCGGCCTGACCCTCCTTCAGGGTGTGGGCGGCCCTCCCGGGGGTGTGTGCGTGCGTCAGATCAGAGCAGCCTTCCCCTCCCCTTTCCCTTTGCTTTCCCGTGGCCTGTTCAGTGCCACGTTTCAAACTGAAACAGGCAGGGGAAGAGGAAAACTCTCTCATTAGTGAATGGAGAATGAGAAAAAGGTGGGGGGGGGTAGGGGGCGTGCATCGAACAGAGAGGAAGCAGTTATACATTACCTCTAAAATGTCATTTTGAAACAGAAACTTTTTTGTTAGTTTTAAAGCTCGTTTGCAGGCTCTGCCGGCTCTGTGACAAGGAAATATTTCTACAGTCCTAGGCCTGTCATTTGTAGATGCGGTTCCCAGTTTGGTCTGCCATGACTTAAGGGTTCAGGCCCCAGAGCTCTTTTCCAGTGGTGGCTGGTTTTGCTGCTTTCAGGGGTAGCTGTGATAGGGCTGCCTTCTTCCCTGTTCCTGACACCGTGATTGACTTGTCAGGATGACACGTGTGCTGCGTATACAATGGGAGTCCTGTTAGTGCATGGGCTCCGTGGCACGGGTTCACATCCTCCCAGACATATGGATCGGCGTTGTAACCCGAAGCCAGGTGCCCGTCCCGTCTGTTAGCCTCAGGAAACAGTTCTGCTTCCATTGTGCTTCTGTGAAGGAGACGCAGGTAAATGGCACCAGCCTGTGTCTGCGAACATCGGTTATTTCTTTGACTGTACCTTCCAGTGCACTTTTGAAGACGTTTCTCCACCAGTTTTTATAGCTTTTGACTTTATGCAGTATCCTGTCTAGGCTCTGACGTCGACGACCTTCAGTGGTGGTCTAGAGAAATGAGTCCAGGGAAACCGAGAAGGGTTACTCACTCTCTTGGGTGCCCTTGTTCTGTGGTTGGATTTCGCTCAGTGATCTGAGCAACGGAGCAGAATTTGGGAGCTAGTTCTTCTCCTGGTCAAGCCTCACATGTTAAGCCTCGCCTATGGAACCTAATAGCCCATCAGCCATCCCTGTGTCTTCCCTTGGCCAAGATGTGATATCCAGAAAGGTGGCATTGATCATTTTGTGAGTTTTAGACCCTTATTTCAGGATGAAGACTGAGACCTGTAAAAAGGCCTGGCACTGTGCCCGGCCCACGAGCTCTTGATCGATGGCCTCAGTGACAACAACCATGCTGATTGCTGCTCTCCTTGGCTTCATCACTGGGTCTTACCAGCACACCTTCCACCATCATACTGACTTGTGGGCCACCGGGGCCACGTTTCATTTTAGGAGTGACATGTGTTGCCATGAGACCTTGCCCTCGTGATTTCCAGTGCTGGCCACTTGCTCACCAAAGGGGATTTTTGCTCTACCCTGGGTCCCTCTTTTCCCCAGGTGGCCTGGGGGACGGCTGCTCTTGGGAGAACATCTGTTTTCTCTGTGACATCCAGTGCATTAGAACAAGGGCTGTGGGTCCCTGGGCAGCCTCTGTCAGCCGTGCGCAGGAGTCAGAACCGCGAGGGGACCGCCCTGCACGCTAAGTGGGTGCCACTTTTCTCTTGCTCGCTCTGTTTTCTGAGCCCTCCATTGCTGCTTTCTCGGGGGCACTGTCCGGACCAGTCACAACAGAGCTCCTCAGTCCTGACTGTTTGTAGAGTACATGTGTTGCTATGGTGAAAACTTCACTCTGGCAGGCATGAGCTCCCTTTTGATCTGCTTCATCATGGGCAGGGGCCCCAGAAATCACTCCGTCGCAGAGCTGATGTGCCTCCTGTTCCCACCCTGGTAAGCGAAGAAGCCAGAGGGTTGATAAGACCGGATTAGAGTTCCCAAACGACAGAAGTGCTTTCTAATCAGCGAGAGCGCTCTTAGCAGGCTT